ATAAATGAGCAAAGAATAAAATTGTGAAATTTCAGATAAAATCGTATTCAAATTAGAGTATGCTTTTTTTACAAGAGTTACGCGCTTTAAAGTCATTTCTATATCAGACATATCTAAAACTTGGAAAAATGAATGATGACATTTAAATTTAACTTTTGAATCCGAATGTAATAAGAGCGCTTCATTCAAAATTTTGTATTTTTTCCTGATGAACATGAGGGCCATGATCCTTATGTTCATCAGGAAAAAATACAAAATTTTGAATGAAGCGCTCACATTAAGATGATCCTCTCCACAATCCTTTCTCAATCCTTTCCTACCAAAATATCCTGTTACGTGAATGTTGGAACGCTTCACGTAATAATTATCCGTAACTCCTATTTTTTCCCGCTTCACAGACACTACGTGTGCCATGATGCACATTGAATTGTAAAACTCCTTATTACCAATTTTGGAAAAACGAACGTCATAATATTCATCACCCAATTATTTTTCCATACCAGATATTCACTTAATATGTGCGCTAAACAAACGAACATAAATCCGATGAATATTAAAATTTGGTCATATATTCCACTGTAATACGTACTGACATCGTTCAATTTTTCAACGATTTCACTTTCAAAGCGCAATAGTTTGTTAAGAATATTTACTATTATTTTCTGCCGGATGTTGAATAAAATAATTATCATAATTTGTGCAAACTGCACCGTGAAAGCAAAAAATATGTCAAAACTATTCTGCATGTAACTCATATTTTCCATTTCTTCATTATATCTTATCCAAAAATAATAGAATTCAAAAGGAATCACTGTCAAATATCCGATGAGACCATAAGCTCTTGCGCTGTTGGAACGTATGAATTTGACACTGTGTTGGGTCTTATTGTTTCTAATCACTATCGATGACTTGAAAGAAAAAGTTGCTAATCCCAATGCTCTATACATCAGAGTAGTTAAGTGAAGTAATGAAACGTTTGATCTCGAATATTCATTAGAGGTTGCCAATGTAAGATCGCTTGACTCCTACCCACTGTACCCCATCAACTAAGAGATTATCCAAGTGTCATCCAGGACAGCGAGCGTTCCCCCATCCGCTCGGGGAGACGCGCCGGTAGCAGTATCTCTTCTGCCCGAGTGTGTGTGTGTGTGTGTGTGTGTGTGTGTGTGTGTGTGTGTGTGTGTGTGTGTGTGTGTGTGTGTGTGTGTGTGTGTGTGTGTAAGTATGTAAACCTCTCATAACTTTTGAATGGCTCGACTGATTCGATCGCGGTTGGCGCCATTCGAAAGGGCTTGTCCAAACTTAAATTTTGGATACAATTGGGATCGATTCGGACCGATAGATTTCGAAAAATCTAAAAAAAACTGTAAAAAAAAATTTTTTTCAAAAGTGGTTTTTTTGGAATATCTTTCGAACGGCTTTATCGATCAACTTTAAAAACTAATCAGCTCTTAACCTTAAAGAACCACTTCGATCGCCGCTAATCTGGTCAAAATCGGTTGATTCGTTCGAGAGATATCGTGCAGGAAAAAAAAACCCGAAAAAGTGTTTTTTCGTAATTACTCCGAAATTTCTCGTTTGATCAATTCAAACTTAAAGATTTTTCAGAAGGCTTAAAAAACTGCGTCGAATGCTGCCTACCGCGTGAAAATCGGTTCATTCATTCAAAAGTTATTGCGGTTTGAAAACTCAAAAAATAGTGTTTTATCAACCTTCTATCAAACTTTTGAGCTTGAAGAGTTCAAAAGCATAGAAAAGTTATCTTTTTGAGCTCGGAGAGCTCAAAACGACCTATAAATTTTATTTTTGAACTCGAAGAGCTTAAAATCGTCGTAAATGCAATATTAAGCACCCAGGTATGGAATTAGCGGGAAGTTGCAGGGATGACCTTCAGGGTCAACCGTTTTCCTAATTTTTTTTTTTATTTTCTTAACACAATCAAAGCAAATTGGTGAATGTTATATATTTTCAAAAGATAGAAGTGGAAAGAAAATGAGAATTTTATTCATTTTACACTTCAGGCACCGAGATAAAAATTTTTTGGATTATTACAATTTGTCAACCGGAATTGATGGAGATTATCGATCTGGAATTATTAATCAACACATGTACATGCAATTTCAACTAATGTCTTGAACTATCAGATAATAAATACTGAAAATTATTTATAATGACAATGAACACATAATATTAAGGTGTAATTATTTTTTTAATTTGTTACTCAATGATTATTTTACCTTTTTACATCATGACAATTAAAGCTTAAACTTAATTGCTAATTGATATGTATCGATCGTTCGCTAGGTGTTTATGTATTTTTTAGATACTTTTAATAATCACACGTGAGTTAAAATCAAAATTTTTTTCAACATTTGATAAATAAATTGTGGATTTAAAGGTATTTCAGCAAATTTTATGGACAAAAATGAATTAAATTTAATTCAACCATAATTTGAAAATCTTCACATGAAAAAAAATTGTTTACAGCATGTTTTTCTTCAATTATCGATAGAATTAAAAAAATTTTATTGCTTATAACTGTCCAATCACTGGACACAATTTCGTACATTCGTAATTTCGAAAAAAGATTATTGCTATTAAGCTACAAAAAAACTAATTCAACATCGGAAGTGAGAATTCGTCTGATGAGGCACGGGGCACGGGTCTATGCATACAGTACACCCGTGCAGATATTTAAACACACCGTAATTACAAAAAAATATTTAAAAAGATTAACTTTCTAGTAAGAATTTTATATATTGAAGTGAAATTTCTCTGCTGACGTAAATAAAATTTTTAAGAGTTACGAATAATTAAAATTGCAACAGTAACCTTAGCAACTGTTACTATAAAAACGGTTATCATTTCAATATTTATTATGGCCGTAGTTAGCATAGTAACGGTGACCATTGCGAGAGTTAATCTTTTTAAACACTTTTTAGTAGTAAAGATGGCAATAATTAATGCGCTTAATGAAATTATGTGATTTATAAAACAAAATTTTTAACTTTATTTTCATTTAAAACTCTTCCTCAAAAAACATTCGTCAGTCATTAAACACTTTTAAAAAACTATACCTAATTAAAAAATGTGACCAACAATCTTGATTTCTCATAAGAAGTAGCAATTAACTGTTGATTTTTATTTCAATTTCAATCAAATTTTAAATATTGTAAACTTTAAACAACATAATTAAACACATGTGATTCATACGAGTGAAAAACGACAATAAAAACATCTAGCTTTACATTTTGTAATAATTTAAATAAAAATTTTTCCGAAAAATAGCCTCAACTCGCTCGATTTATTTATCTTTACAGCGTCGAGTGATTATAACAGTTTAATATATTAACTTTAACAAACAATTAATATTTTTCCCAAGAAATTATAATTTATACTTCAATAAGACCAAATTGCAACAAAAATACATGATTTTTTTATTATTCAAAAAATTTTTTCAATTTTAGATTTTATTTATTATGGTTTAAAAATTGTCTTTAATCCATTAAAACAATCAATTTTACAACAATTATGAAAAGAAATAAAAATAAATGTTATTGAATGATATATTTGTTATTGATATCTTGAATTTTTTGTGCCTTTAGAAGTGCGAAGGCTCCTTTTTACTCACTCATCACCCTCAATAATTTACATAATTAATATAATTTATAATAACAGTCAATTAACAAATAATTAACAAACTTTTTTTTAAATCAGAAACAGCTCATTAATATTGATATCTAATTACTATTAATACGTCATTTATAATATACATAATATATATATTTATAATTATAATATTATTATTTTTTAATAATAATTTAGTTATTAAGTACAATAATTAATAATCAGTTTTTATTGTTTACCCTTAAATGGATTATTTAGTAATCAATAATTTGTAGGCGTAATGTTGTAAGGATTATCCAATTCGTTTTTTTACTTTTTTCTATTAATCTGTTCTTTTATTATCTTTCTTCTTCTTTATTATAAATTTTTACTTTTATGTTATATCTTTTATTATTGTTATTTACAATCACGCTTTTATGATATTTTTTTAACTCAAAACTAATAATAAATTGGCAAATATAGTCATTTTTTTTAAACTTATTAATCGTTTTTATGTTCCATATTCATTGATATTCATCGAAAAAATTAGAAATTAAATTTTTTGAACAAAAAATTTTTTCCGATAATTTACAAATCTCTTATTGGTCTACACCAAAATCACGCAAAAAATCGACTATTTTCTTTCAAGTTAGTTAATCGACTAAAAAATAAATAAAATTTAGTCGAATCGAATTTTTTAAAATAAATATTTTAGTTTCAACTATTTTTCTATTGAGAATAAAAAAAATTTTCGGTATTTTTGCGCCATCTTAGTGATTAGTGAATCAATACTTTTTTACATAACCGAGTTCAAAAAAATTCAATTTAACGCAGATTAAGTATAACTTTCATTGATTCAATTAACTACAATGGATAATCATGAACAACTTTTCTGTGAATTAAGTAATTCAAACTTTCATCAGTAACGTTGACTTATTACTGTGTTATAAATAATAAATTAATTTCATTTTTCCTTTATTTTTTTGTATTATTTCACAATACGGATGGCATTTCTTCGTTAGATTCGTTATTATATGGACTATTACAATGTACTCAGTTGATACTTTGTTTAATTAAATTAAAAAATGAAAAAATGTGTGAAACTATAAAAATTAGTCCCTTCCATCGATTTATTTCTTCTATTATTTATTCACTTAATCATTTATGTAACTTTGTTTTTAATAATGGAGTTATAAAAACTCTATTTTTATTAAAAAAATGAATTGGATTTAACTAATCATTGAACAGTTAAAATTTTTTCGAATAGTAATAATTTTAATGGAATAAAATTTTTTTTTTGTTAATAAAATAGTTCAAGTAACAATATAATGTAACTATAAATTCTATTTTGTTGTTGATAAATTTTTTAAAACCATTTTTATAAATTATGATGATTACCATTCGTAATCGTGTTGGTGAAATGGATTAGTACATGGTTGCTGAACATGGTGGTGAGATGTAATTGCTGATGGTTTTATTACATCCAACTCATTACCTACTACTTCACTGTAAATCTGTAAGAATAAGTAAAAATATTGTTTATTATAATAATATTTAAATGTATTTTTTTATTTACAAAAATTACTTTTTAAAAGATGAAAGGATTTTGATAAGTTTTAATAAAAAAAAATTGGGAAATCCAGAATAGCATACTGCTAATGTGTTACAATAGACAACAAATAAAAAATATTAATCATCATTAACGATAAGAAAAAAAATGAACGTGCAATTCTACGTTGATAAATATTAGTTTAATTTTAAAAAATAAATCTATATAAATATAAATAAATAAATAAATCTATATATAATATATACAGTCATCGTCATTGATTCATAACAGTTGGTAATAATAAGGTGGAAAAGAAAAATATAAATTTGGACATCTCTCTTTAAAAATTTCACTAAATAATGAATCATCGGCATATTGGCTTTCAACGAGACAATCCATGGTAATTAAAATAATAAAAATTATTTCTGGAATAAGTATGATATAAGCTTGTTAAACGACCGGTTAAAAATACTATGGAATTTTAAAAGCTTCAGAAATAATTTTTATAATTTTTAATTACCATGGATTGTCTCGTTGAAAGCAAATATGCCGATGATTCTCAAAGAACTGTGTAAGTCAAAGTGTCTTTTAATAGTATATCTCGTTTGAAATCTAACTATTCTATTTGGTCTCATGACAGAAGTTATCAAAAATTTTGCTATATTTTCACTCTGCTTGATAAGCTGATTCAGAAAATTCATTCAGAACGATGATTTGAAATGATTACCTTTATGTTAATTGTATATCTATATAGTATTCAAATCGGATGGATTTAAATCATTTTAAATCATTTCAAATTAAATTTCTTAATCAGGGTTACTAGACACAATACCAATGCAAATTTATTGAGAAATTTTCAAATTGAGAGATTTCTAAATTAGGAAATGTCGCAATTGAGAGATGTCTAAATTAAGAGATTTCTTAAATTGCTTGTATTTAATTAGAGATGTTTATTTGTTATTGTTTCCTATAATCGCATATGTCCATATTCTTACGTGTCAAATAACTCGATTGTCATTTATTATTACTGTCTTAAATAAGATTTTTAAATATTTAAAAATTTTCTTATTCATTAATTTTTATAATTTAATTTGTATAATAACAAGAATGGTTCAATTAACAATTTTATAATTTTAGTCTTTTTTCATTATCGATTTGTATTTTTATAGTTCTTTATCAACTGAAATTATTTCTTTAATAGTATAATTTATATTTTATAGTCATTTTTTAGAACTAAAATTGATAAGGAATTTAAATTTTTTCCCTTTAATTCTTAAAGAGAATTAAATTTATTTTTATTTCTCTACTCCTATAATTTTAAATAATTATAAGTATTTCTCTAGTCGTAACTGCATAGAGGGATTTTTATTTTCTTAGTGGCACTCAGATTCATTTTTCTTTTCCATTTAATTTCTATACTGATAACTTGTCTGATTACATAATTATTTATCTTATGGGATTTCTTTTGTCTGTGCTGGTTAAAATTATTCATTTTTAAATTCATTATTAAGTGAAATTTTTAAAGAGAGAAGTCCAAATTTATATTTTTCTTTTCCACCTTATTATTACCAACTGTTATGAATCAATGACGATGACTGTATATATATACCTATTCTTTCGTAGGAAGGTTCGATATAGGATATAACTATCTGATCTGATAATAGGATTTGAACCCAGAACAAATATAAATAATGCTGTGAAGCGGGAAAGAATAGAAGTTACGGATAATTATTACGTGAAGCGTTCCAACACTCACGTAACAGGATAATTGGTAGGAAAGGATTGAGAAAGAATTGTGGAGAGGATCATCTTAATGTGAGTGTATAGAATATGTGAGAAAAAAAAAATTATTAGATAGCTCGGACAGAAAAGTTAATTTCTAATGTATATACATCAAATTTGTGAGAATATTACAAATTGATAGAAAATAGCAAATTTTTTATTTTTATGCTACTCAC